TTTGGAAAAAAAGTGGTACCTTTACAAAAGAGATTTATTTTTGCAATTGAAAATGGTATTGCACCCCACACAGCTAATTTTCTTGCACATTACATCCACAAATAGCTCCATTAGCGCCACGAATAAGTGTTTAGAGAAAACGTGGTACCTTGACGCCAAAAAGTGGTACCTTTAGTTCAATAACATGGTACCTTTGGAAAAAAAGTGGTACCTTTGCAAAAGAGATTTATTTTTGCAATTGAAAATGGTATTGCACCCCACACCGCTAATTTTCTTGCACATTACATCCACAAATAGCTCCATTAGCGCCATGAATAAGTGTTTAGAGAAAACGTGGTACCTTGACGCCAAAAAGTGGTACCTTCAGTTCAAAAATGTGGTACCTTTGGAAAAAAAGTGTTACCTTCGCAAAAGGGATTTATTTTTGCAATTGAAAATGGTATTATAACCCACACCGCTAATTAGGTTGCACATTACATCCATAAATAAATCCATTAGTGCCATAAAGAGTACAAACTTTATTCCAATCTATCTAACTTGAGGGAATGAGTAATACAAAATATAGTCCAACATCACTTAAAACATTACACATAAGCTAATTTTTTTTTTTTTCTATAAGATATCCTAAAAACAATTATTCTCTCCCTAATAGGTAAAGAAGCTGCTTTTAAGCCAGTTCCATTATGAAATAGTACTTTGCAAAAAGTTCTCCTTACCTGATTTGTGTCCATAGTTCTTCAAAGTTTTTCTCCCGGAACGGAGCTCTCAACGACTACAACTTCCACCAGCGTTCCTTAAGCAATTTGATAGAGTTTTACCTTCCAAGTCTATAATTAGGAGTTATGCAAGCAAATCGTAGCGGGTTGAAGTGAGAGAGGTTAATAACACAAAATATTTTTACAAGGGTTAGCATGAATTTATGGAAGACAATTCACTAGAGTTCGAAAATTTCCTAGTATCTTATTATATATACTGAGGAGATTTCCTAGTATTTTCTTATATATGAAGGAAGAACATTTGATGGTTGAAGACAATGGCAAGCAGCAAAATCCTATACGTCGGAGGGGTCTCATGGCCTCACGAAATGTCGTGAGGAGTTAAAAATGGAATAGTTTCAAATATGAGGAGTTAAAAATGGAATAGCTTATAATGCTATAATGAATAGAAGCCAAATAATAGCAAAATAAATACAGGGTACATTTGTAAAAACACTTTTGAAACGTTTATTGAGGGAAAAATAAATACACACTTGAACACATTGAAAAATAAATACACACCAAATCTCGATGGAGGTGACGATGATTACATGCCAGGTTAGTTTTACAAAAAAAAATGAACCATCGATGTGAGGAATTATAAATGGAATAGTTTTGAGAACGATTGAGAATGTAAAACAACTACTTTCAATCCATGCATCTCTTAACGAGTACTTTCGTTCTATATACTTTCGATCCATAGATCAACAACTGAGATTTACTAGTGCTAATGTTATGGTTTTGTGCATATGCCATATGTCTATTTATAGAGCCCAATTCACAGACATGTGAATGAATTTTACCCATATCATGATTTGGCAAAAGGGACTTACACATCTCTCTCTTTGGCATGATAGGGGTGTCTTCATAATAGTTGTCGTGTTATACACCTAACACCACTATTTTAAACTTTACCCATGTGATGATAAGATGAGAAAGTGGATTGGTTTTGTGTATCTACAAGAGCTGATTTTTTCAGTGAGAGTCATATTCTGTGACTAGCCATGTGATTGAAAAAAAAGCCAAATAATTTGAAGTGGCCTTACACCATGGCAGATAAAGATGAATGGTCACATCATCAAGAAAAAGCCTTAGTGTCTGAAAAAGTTATAAATAGTGGCATTGTTGTCATGAGGCAGAGTATTGACATCCGTATTTGTAATTACAATTTACTAATCTAAAGTTTTTATTTTAACAAAACTATTATAATGTTAATTTATTTTTTAAATAGATTTCTAAGTGCACTTTGATTATGTAGTATCTTTATTTTTTCTCATATTTGATCAAAGCTATTAAAAAATCTATATGTCAGATGTTGCAGGAATGAGAGCATTTCCATTGCAAAGAAGATGCATAAGGATCCAATTGAAGTTATTCAAGCCATTACTAATGATCCAGACTTATAAGTTGCTTCAGAGTTGTCAGATTATTCAGATACAGGGGATGATGACTTTGTAATTCCACCTCCCCGTTATTGCTAAAAAAAACTTAGTAGTTGAGTTAAATTTTATGCAGTATGTATATGAAATGTATGTATTTTTTATTTATTTTATGCAGTATTTTGTATGAATTCCACCTCCCCGTTATTGCTCAAAAAAACTCAGTCCTTGAGATTTACTAGTGCTAATGTTATGGCATTGTGCATATGCCATATGTCTATTTACAATGCCCAATTCACAGACATGTGAATGAGTTTTACCCATGTGATGATTTGACAAAAGGGACTTACACCTCTCTCTCTCTCTTTGGCAGGAAGTGGGGTGTTTTGCATAATAGTTCATGCACCTACCACCACTATTTTTAACTTTAGCCATGTGATGATAAGATATGAAAGTGGGTTGCTTTTGTTTATCTACAAGAGCTGATTTATTCAGTAAGAGTCCCATTCTGTGTCTAGCCATGTGATTGAACAAAAAGCCAAATAATGTAAAACAGCCTTACACCATGGCAGATAAAGAGGTATGGTCATATCATCAAGAAAAAGCCTTAGTGTTTGAAAAAGTTATAAATAGTGCCATTGTTGTCATGAGGCAGACTATTGACATCCCTATTTGTAATTAAAATTTACTAATCTAATGTCTTTATTTTAACAAAACTATTATAATGTCATTTATGAATCAAATAGATATCATCATCATTGACAAACAAAAAGTAGCGAAGAAACTACTACCAAAACGTACGAACAAAATAACATACATAAATAAACAAAACCAAGATAAGAGAGCCTAGTGCTAATTTGGGCAGTAGGCAACTTAATTCCGCCTACTCCTGATAAACAATACTGCTTTCCCATACAATTAATTTGGGTAATGGAGGTCTAAATCCCCGTGACCCGCCTAATTTAATTCCAAAGGTTTTGTATTTTCATGTAAATTTTGGTATACACCCAGAAAGACCAATTAATTATATTGGATTCTCAAGTACAAGTATAATTTAACTTGATTATCAGTGAACAAGATATGTAAGTAGTAATAGACTAAATAGTAAAGGGAACCAAGATCCAGTATAGGATATTTTCAGCAAGGGGTAAGAAAACAGGATCATAAAAGAACTGGACAAAGAAACTGCAACTATATTTCAAGATTAACCAGTTAAACATCACCTTTTGAGTCTTTAATTTCTTTAATAACCCTACTTTGGGATCACTCCTACACCAACACAGTTATTTTATTTTATTTTTTTTTAGTATTTTCTTCAGCAGTATCCTAAAGCCATCATCCATACCAAGACAGTTTTTGGTTTCTTATAATTTTCTAATACAGTTTTCTAATACAGTGTGTGATTGTCATTGGATATCAAGAGAACCAACCCTTGAACTATGCCCGTCTTGCAAAGTCCTTAGCTGTTCAGAAAAACCATGAAAAATAGAGTACAGGATGGAGAGGTGGCACCAGAAAAATCAAATCTAATGCCTAGATCATGAGAAATGTGACAATTTGCAATAAATACATTTCATTTCACTCCAAATAAAGAATATAATACTCTTAGTTCTAATATTTGTTTTCTAAAATATAGGCCAACTATACAAGCCATAATCCTTCATAGTAGTTCACTTTATGCATTATATCAGTATAATAAAATCTTCAATGATACATGCCTCATTCAACCTTGCACTTCACCACTAAACTGGACTTTGTTCTCTTCCAAACTAAAAAAAACGTAAAAGAAACTACCAACTTTATCAGAACTTAAATGGGATATAAAAATGCATGTTGTGTTGCATTTAAACCCATGTTTTTCTTTAAGTTTTTCTTTTTCCACACAAAATGCAGTTAGAGAAACTGACAGAAGCCCAATTTCTTTTTCCACACAAAATGCAAGGATCCTCTTCCTGTAAGCTTCTTTGGCTGGAGAGCATGGTGTTGGGCTTTCTTTTCTTACCATCCCACCGTTGAGCATGTAATGTGCAAAATCAAAATCCATTGCAGATCGGTTGGGAATAAACCTATCCAGCTGCCATCCCAAAAGAACAAGATTAGTGTGAATTTCCAATAAAACCTATATATATATATATATAAAGGCAAAATGACAGGAAAAAATCAGCCATAGAGTTTAAAACCCAGGAGCAAGATTAGTGTGAAGCCTATTGCGATGACAAAAGAAGGCAGGCAAAGATATTAAAAAAAAAATTAAATAAATAAAGAGAGTATATTTTGAAATGTAATATTTTCTTTATATGGAACACAAAAACAAAACCTGAAACTATCGTTACTGTCTTCTACAACTATTTTGGTTCCTTTCGAGTAAAAATTCTTTGTAATCCAAGACAATAGGACATATGATAATATTACATTATTATCTATTTTCCTCACTTAGAAACCTAACAACTGGAGAAATGAAAATGCTTACCGGTTCACCTTATAGCCTGTTGGCTTATGGTTTGAATTATAAACCCACTGGTCAAGGTTCGAGACTGGTATATATAGAGAGGAAGCTATATGAGAAGTCACAGATGTTAGATTGTGAATCTTTTGGTCATTCAACCCAATCTTGCTCTTCTAAGCCCACTACTAAGCATACACAAAAATGGAGAATGAAGGAGGACGGCTAGACCTAATTCGAATTAGTGGGAGGAAGTTATAAGGGGAAAAGGGAGAAGTGTTGTGGATCCCCCCAATGAGGAATTGTGAAAGGAAAGCCCAAAAATGGCTATACCTATTGCTTCATTATCAAATATATTTCAATTCACTTCTTCTATTTGATGTGTCTTTGATCACAATCTCATTGCACCTCTCTCAAGAGATTATGGGACCTATTGATTATTTAAACTTTATTGGGTCTATTTCTCTGAATAAAGAAAGAACTACGTAAATCCAAATTTATACAAATAGAAACAAAAACATATTGAGTGTGTTTTCCCTGAATCTTCATGTTGAATCCCATGGAAATCCAAACCATCCAAAAAATTATCTAATGATGTCAAAAATTCTAGTCGTGCAGAATCTATACAAGTTGAACAAATAAACCCTAAATTCCTGAAAACTCATATTCGTAGACAATAAACCATCCAAATATGCTAAAGAAACCCTTACGTGAAAAAAAATCAAAATCCAAGAAATTAATGGGAACATCAACCACAAAAATCTAAAGATATTGCAAACAACACTAGATATCGTCTAAAAAAAAGAAACATTCAAATAGTAGACGAAGAAACCGTAGTTCACAGTAAATCCAAAAGTCCAACAAATTCACGAAGACAAACAAAAGAAAGAAAATCAAAAGGAATTCGATACAAAAGCTAAAAGAATTTAAACTTTTCTCGTTTTCTTGAATTCATTGCAACGAAACAGAAAGCCGAAAATATCAATTGGTTGGCGAACATACATAAACACACACAAGCAGATGGAAACACATACTTTTTCGCACAAATTTTGCCTTCGAAGTTTCTGATCGGAGAGAGGGAATCGCGACATTTTTGTGTCCAATTCCTGAATCCAAAATTGATGTTTTAGGAACAGCATATATATATATATATATAGGGATTAAAATTGTATAAAAATAGAGTAGAAATCCTAGCAAAACGATGAACAAGACTAGAGAGAGAGAGAGAGAGAGCAAGATAGCGTTGATGAATGAGTTGGGTTTAAGAGAAAATTAGCAAAACCTCTACATATCAACATGTACGAAGAACGTGAGAACTTGCATTAACTCATTAAACAACATATCAACAACTTCTCCTCCACAACAATCAATCAAAACCTCCACATACGATGATCCCATACTCCCATGCTTTCAACATTTTAAAACAAGAAAAAAAAAAATGGGCTCCACATGGGCCGATGTAGCAATAAGGTAATAAAGTTCATGATACACCATAAAATTGGTCACTTAAAGGCATGTGACCCCCCCGAGTATGAGTATAAAAAGCATTACAAATGTGCAATCATAAAAGATTTTTATCGAACATAAAGACCATATAACTTACAAATTTGATGTACTTGATAGCCATGCAATCGACGCTCCCGTTGTTATCTCTTCCCAGCCCCTAGCGGGAAGACTACATTTGAAGTACATGCAAATCAATTAAACAAAATATAACACCAAAATATTGTACAAGTGGAGATGGTTAAATGAAAAAACTCAAAAATAAGGGACATATGAGCAAACAACTTTTTTATTAGGCGCTAGTAACCAAAAGCAAGACTCTAAACAAAATAAATAAATAAATGGGGTAACAGTAGTCAACTAAGATTATAGCAAAATCCTTTTTATTATTGTTTATTTATTTTTTTATTCTATCAAACATGATTGGACAATTTGGACAACAAAAAATCAGAAGGAAGCCCAAAAAGTCTATTTGAAACAATTTTTCCCAGAAATACATACTTCACTTTGAAAAATCAATAAAAAAGAAATTCTCAAACAATTTGCATGAAACCAAGTCCATTGGAAGCTTAAACACACAATTTTTCTTCTATCAATTTAAATCAATAAATTTTCTTACCGATTAAATAAGGTTTGAAGGAAGAGATAGGAAGAATTCTGCTTACAAAACAAGGATCACAGCATGTTAAGATTAACTTCAAAAATCCATACTAATTTCAAAATCCAATCAATTTGAGCCAAAACAAAAACCTGTAAACTCATTAATAATAACTGATATCACATAATTTGAAGTGATTATTGTCAATTATGCTCGTGAGTTTGAAATGTATTCGTTCACGTGATCTTTTGGACATTTAATAGAGAAACAAACAAGTCTTTTTCTTTGTCATTGTATAAAAAAGAACAAGTGATAAATACCAAAAAGTGCCATACATACCTCATCGGTTCGCAACACAACAAATTGGTCTCTGCTGGTTATATGTGACAACACCTCACTTCAGGGACGGATATAAGTCCAAAATCCTTAATAAAGTAGTCCCCAAAGGCTCTAGACATTGCCAATCTGGGGCATTCCTCATTCGGCAGCCAAATTTTATGCACCACAGGCTTGTCGTTTAAACTGAACACTCTTCCTTTGTACTGATTTATCCATTCAGCCTCATCTGTCAAACAATGTTGATAATGTAAACACAATGTTCATATAATTTTTGAGACACAAAGAAAGTGAGGAAGAGAGAGACTCACGAGGTAAATTGTGGTTGAAATAACAGTCATAATGCAGTAGGGGAGCTCCAAGGAATTAATAGTGAGGAAACAAGTCATAATGACTTTAATATGATGTTATTTTCCTAGCCTTCCGTAAGCATGTAACATGTAAGCCCGTCCATTGTCACATAATCCCATAACCTCCTTGCTTTCACGACCCTCCAGCTGCCAGAAAACTCACACACCTATGATTTTTAAATAACACTCCACATGAGACTCATACGAGGACCCAGGAAAATAATTTCAATACCAAAATAAACCACCAGACGAATAATACAGATTCAACTTAGAATAAGTTACATCATACTTAGAAATGTTTTCTAAATAAGTTAGAAATACTATCACAACATAGTTATACTAATGCAGTAGGGGAGCTCCAAGGAATTAATAGTAATTACAAAATAATTCCATATTTAAGGCCTTAACACCTTACAAAATAACTCCACTAGAATTAGCAATTATATAACTATTCTATCCAGGTATAGGAGCCTTGCACTTTCGACGATTATGACCATTCTCGCCGCATCGCGAACAGTGTAACGACCTTACATTTTGAAATTGTGATTCGATTCGTTTAATACGAGGTCGTCCAGGGGGACGTGTTACCGCAGGAGGCCTAAGATGGGAAGCACCTTCACCGTCAGCAGCAGCAACAGCAGCTGCATTCGGCATATCATGCATGGGGACAGAAGACATGAGATGTTCACATAGTTTTTGTTGTGTTTCAACCCTAAACCATGGATCAACCATCTCATAAATATTTAAAGATAATTCATGGATGGCATAGCATGCATGCGAACAAGGAATCCCACTCATGGTCCACTTCAAACAACTACAAGAATTTTCACTGCCAAATACCACCCTGAATGGTTTTCTGTCTCGATCATATATTGTACACTCAGTAGGCGAAACACGCATCGACTGAAAACCAAGAGCTAACTCTTGCTCTTTTTTTATTTTCTCCTCAATACGATCCCCAACCGGGATAGTCCACTTCTGAACGTCCAAACTCTTTTGGTATAAAAATTTGCTGAGTCTTTGCATGTGTGTATCCATCAACCTTGTGATTGAAAAAACCCTCTCTTCTTTCACCCATGCATTGAAGGACTCTGCTTGATTGGTGTATAATTTATCCCAACGCTTGGAAGTAAACATAGCATTTGACCAATGTTCAGGTGAATTCGCCAAAACCCAATCGCATAACTCCCCTCGAAATACCCGCATGGCAGCCAATGCATTCTTATACTCATCTACAGTTCGAGCATATGCAATTTTATCGAGTAATTTTTTCGCATGCTCTTTACCCGAAGCCCTCAATCCTAAACTTTGTCTCCCAAGAATGGATGTAGAAAAATTCGCCGTTAGGTGACGAAGACACCATGAGTGGTACTGGGAGCCAAAAATATCTCTAATACAACTTATTAGGCTCGGATGCCTGTCGGTTAAGATTGTCACAATGCGACCATCTAGAATCTCTTTCACCTTGCTCAAGAACCAATGCCAATCATCATCATTCTCAGAAGAAACAACAGCATACGCCAAAGGCCACAAGCCATCATTCGCATCGAACCCCGTTGCACCAAGCATTGTTCCTTTATAATTGCCACTCAAGTGGCAAGCATCGATTGCTAACATGGGCCTGCAATAGTTGATGAAACCTCGTATGGAGCACCCATAAGCTACAAACACTCGCTTAAATCTCCTATCATCCGTGCACTCCCACGATGTAATTGTCCCAGGAATATATTCTGCTATTCGTTCACACAACCACGGGACTAAAATATAGCTATCCTTGGGATTTCCCTCAATGATATGACGTGCACACTCCTTAGCTCTCCACGATTGCATGTAAGTCATTTTAGCAGAAAATTCACCGTTTATGTCTGTGGAAATAGTCTTGGGGGTGCATTTAGGATTGTCCCTAACCTTGTTCACAATAGCTCGACCCATTTCCTTCGACCAAAAAATGGCTTTATAATCTGAAATGTCTTGAGCAGTGTGAGTGTGAACATTATTAAACCGCTTGATTCTCACTATATCACCACTTCCTTCACAACCAGCTGATAATTTCCATGGACAATTATTAACCTCGCACACAACTCTATAATATTTTCTACTATTGTCCAAGTACTTGAACCGAAAATGATTACGAAGACCAAACAAAACGAGTGCATCTTTGAAATCATTTGGGCTGTCAAAAAGCTGATCCACGCAAAGAATGTCATCAATGTGTCGGAAAGAATCCCGATGCGCATTTATCGGAGGAAATGAAGACGTTGACGCAACACTTTGTAGAAGACCAATTGGCGATGTGGCTTCAACAAATTGTCTACAAGTGGATAAAAAGGTATATTAAAAATCACATAACCTATGCAGCGCATACATCAATGTATTACTTTAAATATATGTGTCTTACCTCTCACTATGATCAGTAGGAATTGTGCATGATGCAATTACAGGCTCTGCATCTTCCATATACACATTTAGCATGGGACCACTCACTAGAAGCATCACTCTAAATCCAGATTCTCCCGTCATCCTCAAAAGTTCATTCTTGTTAGATTCGGTGGTATAATATATGACTTTACCACTCATGTTTGAAGATGAACGTTGTTGTAACTCATTTATAAATGATTCGTATGTTGTTGTTGTTGTTATCATAAAAGGGTCTGTGACACCGCCGATGTATATAATTTCCCCATTCTCATTTTTGTCAATTTTCCCATCAAATCGACAATAGCATATAATTTGTCTCTCATCCATTTGTCCAACTGCTTCGAAAATTGACTCATTAGTTTAAAAAAAAAAACTAAATATGAAGTTCAAAAAAAAATGAAATATAAAACAATTAAATATCATAATTATATAATGTAATTTAGAGATCTATTTACACCGAAACACTACTAATTCCCTCAATAGGGATAGGCGGTGTCAAGATTAAACTTTTCCTAAACACACACTACAGACCTTTTTCAAATCAAAATACAACCACAAAATCAATGCCATTGATTACTAGATAATTGTATCACTATGTGTACAACAAACATATATACAAGATGAGGGAGATTATGAGATGAATAGAGAGTTAAATGGGACAATATAGATTGAAAATAAAAAATTGAGAGTTAAATAGAGAGAGAGCAGAGTGTTGAATATTTTTCACACACAAATATTATATGTGTAAGTCTTGAAAATGGGGGAGACAAGTACAAGGGAATGTTGGAATAATAAATTAATACTAAATACATTTTTTTTATAAATTAATGCTAAATACATATATTAAAAAAGCCTCATTCATAGAGTTTGCTAGCTTTTGCATCAATTCTATCATGTGCGTAGATGCCTAAAGACATATTACACAGAGGTATACTCTACATGCCATTTGAGAAAGAGGCAACAATCTTGAATAATTCTTGATCTAAATTGAGTTATAATAATTAATTATACATAAAAACTAATTGGACTACCTATGTGTTGGTGGCTTTGAATTTTAACTCCTAAATTCCTACGTTCTGCTGAGGATTTAGTCTGCAGTCATCAAAGAGCCTTGAATATATAGCTTGAATACAGATATAGCTGATTTAGTCTGACTCTTTTTGTAGGAAGATACAGATATAGCTGATTTTACATAGATATTATTTTCTAACGGAGTGAATTGATACTACTCATAGCTATCGACCAATATTGTGGTGTGTATTGGTTATAACTGACAATGTGAATTTAAAATTTCAAATGGATATAACCATGGTCAGTATTAATGGTTTTAACTAAATTTTGATATTTCCATTAAAATGGTATCTCTCTTTGATTTTGGATCATGTGTGTGGTTATTAAATTATGTGTTGATTTGTAAGGTTGCTTTCAGATTTGGACAAAAATAAAATGAAAGTCTTGATAGTTTGTTGATGTAATGAGCTTAAAAATTTAAAATTATATGCTTTGAATATATATCTATATCAGTCCATGGCAACTACTGCTTAATGATAAATAAGCCGTGAAACTACTTTGATCATATGGAGCTTATTAGTTGCATCATGATTACTACTAGTTTTGTGTATGTGTTCCATTATGTACTAGTTAATGTGTGGTATTTAGGCTTATGGCCAGTGTGTGTGTGTTAAAATCATGTATAAACATACATATATATGACAAAGTCGTGTTATGTTTAAATATTTCAGCCTAACTCTTGTAAAAATTAGAACAAATTCATGTTGGTTTGGATGACTCCTAAAGGTTTTTTGTTTGGAAGGTTAAACAAGTATTATTATACCATTTCTCTCATTCCTTCTCTTTCTCCTTCCAAATCGAGGTACGTTAGGGTTTTCTCTCCCCTAATGGCACACGTGTTCTATGGACCTGTATTAGAGTATAGTTCACACTATGATTCTTAAGATTGATGTGCTTATTGACGGTCCAGTGCTGTTTCAATCTCCTCCTAACAGCACTTAACATAATCATAAACTAGATTTAGCTCAGCCATTTTGTCTTGAAGTTTTTCCTCAATCTCATTGGGAAGCTATTCATGTAGTGGCTGAAATATGTTTGTTTTTTTATGATCCAAACACACTCAAACAAACAAGAACAGTGACCAATAGCTAGCCGCAGAAGTTACAATAGGTGTAGCTAGCCTATGACAAGTGTGTTTGTGTTAAAATCTAGGTCATACAATTCTTTTTAATAGGTGTAAATCTAGCTCCCATTCTCACGATTTGTTTGTAATTTAATTTTGTTGCTTTTGCGCTCTATCTACCACTTTATGCGACTTAGTATAAAACCAAATATAAATATTAACTTACTGAATTTTTCTGTTACTATCAAATACCATTAAAGCAAAATTACAAAATTAGACCCTCCCTCACAAGAAACAAAATTTTAAGAATTTATTAATCACTCTAATCGATTGCAATAGGCTGCCAACATAGTTAATTGAGAGTCGATAATTCAAAGAGCATTTCATTTTATTTTTGTCCAAAGCTGAAAGCAACCTTACAAATCAACACATAATTTCATAATCACACACATGATCCAAAATCAAAGAGAGATACCATTTTAATGGAAATATAAAAAAATAAGATGTTTTGATACAATTGAAAATCAAAAAATAAAAGTACATGAAGCACCAGATTTAAAATTAGATTCCTCATAAGTACAAATAATTCTTTGAGACTACGCTTTCATGAGTACAAATAATTCTTTGGGAGCTCCGAGAATTAGTGGGGTAAAACCATGTATATCTCGATTGCGAGAAATATATATAATGCAGCTAAAAGAGCATAGGCAGATTTAATAAGGCAATCCCCACAAAAATCTATAAACTCTACCATGTTTGAAGGCTTTTCTCTTAAAACAGACTTTAGTAGTACTACACTTATCTGTTTCCCATTGAAAACTTTAAATCACCCATTAGCTGTTTTGATTTTGATTTTGATTTTGATTTTGATTCCTTTCCTAGTGCAAAGACATGTAGTATCCGTATTCACCTTCACATAAAGGTGGTGTCTTTGGTTTGATTGTAGTGCCAGAGTTTTGGACCAAAAAAATCAGATCCACCTCAAAGAGAGAGAGAGAGCTCTCTCATGTAGCCTTTTCAAAACAGAGCAAAATACAAAGAAATATTGTCAGTGTTCCCTCAACCTCTTCACTCCTCATTTATGAAACCTGTCTTTCTTTATTTATTTGACATCAAAGCTCTATCAAGTGAAATTCTCAACTCAACTCACAATATTATATATATATATATATATATATATATATAATATGTTTTTGGAGTAAGTGTTGTGATTCTGTACACAATAGGAGATTATTTATTATCTATTATTAGAAAATCGAACAGATAAAATGAGAAACTTTGGGAATACCCCCCCTAAGGTAGTGTGTTTAATTGTGGCATTCATATTAAGTCATCAATTTAATATGTATGTTCCACAATATATTTATATATATGCACGGGTGTAGAATATATTAGATAAAAAAGTAGTGTTACTCTTCAATTTATACAAAAAGTAATGTTACTCTTCAATTTAGTTCTAACTTCTATTTCTACTTTGATTCCAAATAATGCAAAGAGGTGTCATATTCTGATCTGGTATAGAGAATGCTACTCAAAACCTAATTCTCAGAAAGCTTAATTTCTCTATTAAGCTCTCCTCTTCGCACTTCTTCAGCTCTCACGGCTGTTGGGGAAGTTCTTAAAAAATCGGCAAACTCTCTCTCATCTCCCAGAGAAATGCTGCCCAGAATTGACGAGAGTGGCAGGTTTTGCAGCCCCAGAGCCGCCAGAGAGATCACCTTCTATGTCCCCCTCTTACCAATTTTTGTTTTTCTGTGTGTGTATATATATAGAAAGTTCGGGCTATTTGTTTTGGTTCTTTGATGGGTTGAAAATTGCTTGAATTTCAATGTCAGGATAATTATTTATGCGGCGTGTTTGGAGGGTTATGACCCAATTCGGCTATTCAAGAAGAGAATCAACGCCCGAAGAGGTATTAGTATTACCAATGCTATGTCTTGTTTTATGACAATATGTTTATCTTCGGAGGAGTTTTTCTGCATCCCTTTTGATAAAACTGAATAAGTACTTAATTTATTTATTTATTATTATTTATATAACTGGTGTTTAGATAACTACCTACTGCTTTATATTTTCTCTTTTTCATCTCGTTAGAAACTAAATAACTTCCAAAGCATCAGTCTTGGACAGAATTTTGATCGAAATTTACTTCTTTCTTTCATTCTCTCTTTCTTTTCCCGTAAATACAATTTAGACGTAAAGGTCATATAACAGTTTTCCCATTATTGTTCGTGTCTTGTATTTTCAACTGAATTTGGGCTTAGGTATAAAGCAGCTTGCACTCTTCACCGGTTGGGGGGGGGGGGGGGGGGGCGCGGGGGGAACTTGTAAGCATATCTAGAAATTTGTTGTTTAAAACCATTCAAATTTCATGAACAGATGGTGAAGAAATCTTTTCCATTTCTGGTCATTGCATGGCAATATCTTAGACTAAATTTTTTAATCGTTTAAAAATGTTAACATATTCAATCAGTCTACTAAAAAGAATTATTTATCTAATTTATTTAAATGTTGGTAATTATCAGACACCAAGGCCATCACTGACATGCTCTAAAATGCTATGTTTCCCTAGTGAAAACATTTACCAAAGACTTCCAACCTTGTAAGCTAAGGCACAAATCATAGCATAACCATGAAGATTTGTTACTTCATCTATAAGGCACAAACAGAGTAGCTTCTTCCCTTTTGTTTTATATTGAGAACTAAAATCTTTATTAGTGATTCTTAACACCCAAGATATTAATCATGAAATTATTATAAAGCATTTTCATTTAATTGAACCAAACTCAAATTTTATATTTAATTACATTTCAACCACTAAACCACAACAAATATAGTATGTATGAAAAACTTGTTTTTAATTTAATATTGTAGAACCAATACTAGTAATCTTAAACAATTCTTTTACTAAGCAAATGCAAATGGGAATGTAGATTTCACAAACATTTGATAACAAGTGTCCCTACCCAAAGACTATCACATGCATGCCTCTTTACAGTTTACATTCATTGATTGTATCATAAGGTCTCCAGAGCAAATGACTTATGAAGATAGGATTTAAGCTTGTTACCTTGGCACAAGCTAGTTAGCTAACTAGTGAAATCCAACAAAAAGCCTGTAGGCACCACACGTACTGCCACTTGCTTCCACATGGTCCTAGTAAATTTAAAGAACATGAATTATTTGGATTTAG